AAACCAGGCCAGCCACCCAGGGGTGGGGAGCGCTGTTCCCCATCTCGGGAGCGTTTCCATCTTCCGAGCTGAGGATCTTTTGATGTGAGCAGCTCTGTGGCGCAGCCCGCGCTGGCCGGGTGGTGTTGAATGTTTAAAAACCCTCGGCTGCTTTCGCTGCAGGGAGAGGCACAGACTTGAAACGGGTTTGCAATTCCTCCCGTGGCTGGGACGTGCACTGGGGAGGTCGGGGACGATGGCACCTGGCAGAAGCCTGGGGTGCCTGGACCTAAAGGTGGTCCCAGTGCTGTTCCTCGGAGCAGCATCCCCGTGGTGCTGGGCTGCTCCCCGGTGATGGGGCAGGCTCAGGAGCGTGCCCGTGGCTGCTGACCCTTTGCTTTCCTTACAACCCCCTGCCTCATTCTCAAGGCAACCAGCAGCACCTGAATGCCTCCAACCGTGAGGATAAAGGCTTGGAAAAAAACATGGAAGATTGGGAAGTGCTGTCCTTGAGGCACTTTTGGTGCTGTCTGCTTTGTTGCGTTTTTTGGGGAGAGGCAGCCTCTTTTTCTGCACCCCCCAAACTGTGATGCTTGCTCCCTGGCTCTGCCCTAACCCCAGAAAGCTCTCAGGGAGGGCGAGCACCAGCTGATGCCGTGTCCTTACAGCCACCTCAAAAATGTAGTTTTGAGTGCCCAGAGCTGTACATCGGAGCTGCCTCTCCAGCAGCACTGAGTGGTTTTTGGAGAGCCTGCATGCACAAAATGCCGCTGGAGCTGCCAAGATGTTTGTCTGCTGCCTTCCCCCTGCAAGCACTTTTCTTGCAGCAAATGCAGGCTGATTGCTCGCTCGGGGTGGCTTTGGGGTTGGTGCTGTGTTTCGGTGGCTCGAGGAGGGATTTGTGGCGTGGCAGGGCATGACCTTGGGCTCCGACCTGGCCGGATCTTTGCGCAGCGCTTGCTGCCTAATGAGGCTTAGGCAGCTCTAATGCTGCACGGAGGATCGTTGGAGGAAGAGCAGCTATTATTGGAATCGGTGCAGATGATTCGAGAGATGATTTGCTCCTCTCTCAAAATACAATTAGTCACTTCCACCAGCACGGGGAGAGAGCAAGGGCTTGAACTATTTGTGGCTGCAGGCTGAGGAAGCTGAAGAGCCAGTGCTGCCGCAGCTCTGGCCCTGCTCTGGCCGACTGCAGATGAGCTTTGCCTCCCCGTGGCTGTTGTTGCTGCCACTTGAGCTGTGCTCGGTGTTAACACAGCCGCCTTTTTAGCACTGCTCTCCCTTACATTTGCAGCCGTGCCCCTGGTTTCGGGTGGAGGGGCGCTGATGGAGCACGGAGGGGCTGTTTTTTTGTTGTTCCCTATACCATGGAAAAGCCGTACGCATTTTTTCCCCTCTCCTTCCCTCTGGCTGGCGGGGCTGTGCCGATTTCGGCTCGGTCCTGCCCTCTGTGCCGGTGCCAGCTCTCCACCCGGGGCTGCTGCTCTCCTCGGTGGGAGCTAAGGAGCAGCTTTGGGGCTGGCAGGCTGCCTGGATGCTCTGCAGAGCCACGCTGGCTGCAGCTTTGCTCGTTTGTAGGTGAGCTCGGGCTCGGCTGGAGGCAGCGGGGAGATGCTCCGTGCCAAGACATCACCAGGGCGAGGATTTTTCTGCTTTGGTGCCCAGGGCTGGGTGCCTTCAAGGAGCCTTCCCCGCTCTGCTCTGCACTTCTCCTTGAAGCATACCTCTCTGCTGGTCGCTCAGAATATACAAGTACATCAAGGCAACGGGTGTTCCTGAAAACCTTAATTAAGTGCGTTTTGCGACTATTGAGCTCCACCTTTAAAAACCAGCCTTGAAATTGCAAGACATTACGGGCACATTAAGGTTTATCATCTTCACTTTCTGCTCACAGATTCTCCTTCTCTGGAGCTGCCGCTTCTCCCCCTCTCCCCCACACCCAAGCTTGTGGGATCTCCTCGGGACTTCTCCAGCCTGCTGAGACCTTTCCCCTGCCAGGCTGGCTGTAATAGCAGGGAGGCATTTTTCTGCACGTGGGGTGCTCTCAGGTCTGCAGGCTCCTGGAGCTTTGGCTCGTGCAGCATCTTCAGGCTGGGCTCGGCGTCGTGCTGAGCCAAAACCAGGCGAGATGTGCAGGGTCTCCCATTTCCCAATTTGTGCCCCATGCACGGGCTTGCACCCCATCCTAGTGCCGTGCCAGCAGCAGCCCTCCTGCCCCGGCTGCGCTGGATGCCGGCCTCCCCTCCTCCTCTCTTCTTATTATAGCAGCCTTATTGTTTTAAGCCGCGAGCGTGGCGCATTGTGAGCTTGCATAAAGGCCGTTGTGGAAGGGAATTGTATTGTGTATCCCGGCTGCGTGCTTCCTTTTAAACCATACCCCTGTCACCAGGCGGCTTTCTACAGGTTGGTTGCTGAGCGAACAGCTGAGAACCTGTGGGAAGACCCAAATGGCACTTAAATTATATTTGCTCTTTGATTTCGAAGACATTTAGTACCATTTAATAGAATCAGAATGCAATTTAACTCCGTGAAGTGGGGGAGGCTGCCTCGGGAGAAGTGACACTGCCAGAGCTGGGGAAACAAAAAAATTTAAGTGAGCAAAACAGCAGGGTCGGGTTTACTATCCGGATAATTATTATTAAATAAAGAGCAGAGTGGGACTGTGTCTATCAGCTTCCCCGCCTGCTTGAAATGGCGTTAACCACTTCGGAGCTGCGTGAGGGGCTGGCGGAGCTGTGCCGTGGGGGACACCCGGAGACCTGGCATCTGACGAGGCCGTGGTGATCACGGGTTGGTGCTGAGCCAGAACGGCCCCGGGGGTTTCCAGCTGGAAGCTGCTGTTGGTGCACGCTGCTTGCTGCGCCCGCGCCGCTCCCGGTGCTCCCCTTGCCCCGCTGGTGTCGCTCCCCTCCGTGCACGGCAGCAGCGTGGTGGTGCTGGTAGCAGCACATCGATGCTCCACCAGCAGCTGGTTAGAAGTAAAACATGCAGAAAAAGGGCTGGATTTCTGAGGTAGCAGCAGTGCTGTCCTGGTTAGGCTCTCCAGCACACCCAGGAGATGCGCGCTGGGCAGCTCTGCCTTTCCGATTTCCCTTAATGGTGAGGTGAGGGCTTCTTGTTTGAATTTAGGCATTTTTTATTTTATTTTATTTTATTTATTTATTTTTGGATATATTCATGCTCTAAACTATCTAATTCAGCCTCTAGGTTTGGCAGCACCGAGTTCTCCCCAGTTCCTCCTGGACACCCCAGCCCTGCTGGTGGCTCCCCGCAGAGATTTGGGTTTTGGTGGGCAGCTCCACAGCACAGCCAGACCCTTCCGTGGGCACACTGCCTCCAGCAATCGTTCCCTGCCTGGTTAAAGGAGATAATAACGCTTCCCTCCCTCGCCAATGGGTTTGCAGAGGACAAATCTATTAAAGATTGTGAGGCGCTAAAGATGCTTTGCTGATTGGGGCCACACAAGCAGCGGAGGTAGCTGGCTTAGGAAAAGGTTTGCGGTTGAGAAATCATAAGGCTCTCTTCTTTATTGCCTGCCCGCTCTGCCTGGCACCTGGAAAGCAAATTGAGTTTTTAAACTTTATTTTTGGCCTTCAAAAAATAGAGTAAACTGGGAGATAACGTAAGCACGGTGATAATATATTGCATTCCTTGACCATGCTGTGGCTAATAGTCCCAAAGCTGCAGGGGAAGACGCTGAGCTGAGGGGTGGGGAATTGAGGTGGGGGCATTTACCCACCCCACAAGGACGTGGGGAGCAGTGCCATGCTTAGCCCTTGGCTTTTTCTGCCCCAGTTGCCCAGAAGGGCAGCCAGGCACATGGACACCAGCAGGTCTACAGGTCCCAGCATCTGTCGGATGGATGGGGGTTGTGGTGAGGAGAGATCCCCCCAGATGTCCACAGTCATCTTCTCCTCTATCCAAGCTGTCCGGGCTGAATCCATGACCACTGCAGCTTGGTTCTGGTGGTATCAGCATGGCTGTGCAGGCAGTGGCTGCTGGCAGCACCGAAATCTGGCTGCTTTTGGGTGAGTTTCCCCTGCGAAGCCTTGAGTTCTTGCAGAAGAGCCATGACTGATGCAGACACCAGGTCCACGTCCCTCTGCTCATAATAGGTGTGAATTTATGTCTGCATCTCTAAAATAGCTTGATATGGCCAATCCTCCTGGATAAAGGCGAGGGATTGAATTATTACAAAAGGACAATTTTTCATTTCCTATAAGTGCCTTAATCTCGTGAGTAAATATTACAGCTTTGTGCTATAATCCCTAAGCTGGTATATCTCTTCCCTTCCCAGTTACCTTTTGTGTTGATTTACATTTAATATGTTGCCATTAAATCTCTTTCTCTCTCTGAGGCCTATTATAAGTGCAGTATTTATTCTGTTGAGTCTTTTTTAGTCACATTTGTATTGTATTCTAATGTGCTTGCACAAAAGACTGCTGGGCACATTCCGAAGATATTTGCATCTTTTCTTCCCTACTTTTGTCTGCGCTGCCGAAAACACGTGCTATTTTGGCCCTGCACCCAGAGCGGCGTTCCTCATACCGATGAGATGCCTGGAGGAAATCCTCTCCAGTTCCCAGCCTCCTGGGCTTCCCTGGTCCTGCTGCCCCACGAGGAGCATCTCCTGTGGTCCACACGAACATCCCGATGTGTGGAGCAAGCTGAAGCACCCAGGGAGCTCTCCATCTCCTCCTTTCATCCTTGGGCTCAGGTTTTGCACAAACCCACCCAATCCATGGTGGAGCAGAGATTTTCAGGGCTCTGCTGCCAAAACCAGTGGCTGTAGGGCAGTGGCTGTTGTCCCTGCCTGAGCACCAGGTAGGACAAAGTGGTTTTTGCCCACCTGCAGGAGGGAAGGCATAAAATGTGTGTGTGCCTGCTAAACGCTGGGCTGAGCCTCCTTGTGCGTTAATTTACCCAGCTGCATGTCTCTGTTAATTAGCAGCTCACGGCTGCTGAAGGGATGGCTGCTGGGTGCTATTTAAGGGGGGCCGGGAGGAGCAGGAGTTGTGGGGTGAGCCTGCAGGAGGGGGATGTTTTGGGGGCTGCCCAGCTCCTTGGCGCTGACTGAGGGTCTTGGCACCCAGCTGGCACTTCGGGAGGACAAAGAAGCCTCTGTGCCTGCGCAGCACGAGGTAAAAGGTCTCAGAGGGTTTATTTAGAAAGCTGGGGCCCAAGTTAGTGGGGTTGTCTGCACATGGCCTGGGGGTGGGGGGACAATGCTGGGGTTTGTGAGTCATTGAAAGGTTTCTTTGAGCTGAGCACCCTCGGGGCACCTTCCCTCGGTGGCAGGATGGTGCCAAGAGGGGATGGGTTGGGGTGGTGGAGGTGGGTGGCCCCACACTTGTGGGGTGAGGCTGGGGCTCACCTCTGCCTCTTTTCCCTCCCTGAAAATAAGGGGCTAGTGAATGAGGTCCTGAGAGCAGCATGAAAACCTTTTCCAGCTCTTAAAATCCACCCTGGGCACTGCTCTGGCTCTGCAGCCCGGCACTTTTTGGGCTGTAAGCGTGGCTGCAGCTCAGTTTTGGGGGGGAGGTTTGAGCAATCGGGGTGTGTGCTGCTCAGGTTGCTGATTTCCTTGTGCAAATCCCAGCGTCCGGGTTCTTTTCTCCTCTGTCCCCTCGATGTAATTGCTTTGCTCCTTTCTTAAAGTGCCTGGATCTCCACAGATTAAGGGTGCTCAGCAGGAGCTATTATTATTGTGATGTTTTTATTGCATAGAGAGACTGAGATATTAAAGGACTCCTTCAGCAGAGGCTCTTGGAGGTAGGGAAGATTGGCCAGAGCACAGCTGGGCAGGGGCATCTGCCCCCAGGGACAAGCTGAAGCTGCAAAGAGCTGAGATTGTCTGCCTGGGGTGGAAGAGCCCCCTGCTCCATCTGCAGGATGCCTTCAGGAGTGGGGCCGGGAGGTTGGCAGCCCCTCCACGGAGCATCCCTGCAGGTGGGAAGCAGCGAGGAGCTCCCCTGTTCCCATGGGGACCTTTGCAGATGTCCCCTTTGATGGGGAGCTGGGAATTAAAGCCTGGCCCACCCAAAAAAACCCACACAACGTGTTGGTGTTTGGTCCTTGTCGTGTTCCGGGGGTGCATCCTGCGTCCCCAGTCCCACACCACTGCCACTTTTCCTGGGGACGGGTGGCGGTGCAGAGCCGGTGCTGGTTCCTGTGCCAGAGCTGCTCCAGCAATGATCATGGAGCATCGCAGCCTGCCGGGCCTCCCCCTGCCTTCCCACTTCTGTGGGTCGGGCTCTGCCGGGTTTAAAAGAAAATGAGTCCATAAAAGTATCCAGGGGTAGCTGGAAGATGGCTGCGTTTCTTCAGCTGTTCCAACGAGGCATACAGAAAAGGAAGAAAAAAAAAACCACAAACGTTGGCGGCTTGAGGGGGGGAGGACACAGAAACGATGCTTTTATCTCCTTTAAAATAACCCCGTTCTGCCTGATTTTAAATCTTCCACTCTCACCGGAGTCGTTCTGCTGCTCGGTGCAAAGCTACCGGGGGAGTTGGGGGGGGAGAGGGAAAAAAAGTTAATTGAATCCTTATGTTTGAGTGATGGCTACTCTGAGAGCTTGTCAACCTGATGGTAAATCTTGGGGGTGTTAATTGCTTTGAAATCCCTTTCCTCTCCGACTCTGCTCGTCAGCAGTTCCCCACCTTCTGCAGTCCCCCCGCTGGCACGCACGATCCGCTGCTGATGCGCAGCCCACGGCGCGGCTCCGAGCATCCGGGGAAGGCTTTGGGGGTAAGCAGGAGAGAGAAGCCTTTGCCTTATTCCATTTCAAATGGCTCCTGTTTGCTGATAAGGTTAATTGATTTCTTTTGCTTTAATTAACGGAATTCAATTTCCACTTAATGAGAAAGATTTTTGGTGTGACACGTGTAAATGGCAAAGTGACGAGTGCCGGGCACGGCGGAAGGGAAGGGAGGGGGCGGCTTGCGTGGGGGCAGCGAGTCCACAGGAGGCAGGGAGGTGATGCTGGTCCCCCCCAGCACCCTCCCCATCTCCCCAGCGGGATGCAGCCCATTGCTGCTCCTTCTTTGACACCCAGGTGTGATTGTGTTGGTCACCAAGCGAGCTTTGCGCTTTGGTCTAGCTTTGACATGCCCTGCTTGAACCATTTCCCACCTGTTTGGTGAGGAGCTGCCCCTGGGGTGGAAAACACCCTCATTTTCTGCTTTGGGAGTGCGGAGGGGACACAGGCAGGGCTGAAGTGTAATGACAGGGGGGTAACTCTGCTCTTGGGACCACCTAGGTGCGCTGTGGGATGCATTGCTCTCCTTTGGAGACCCTCTTGGACCACGGCTTGGAGTTATTCGGGAGCTGTCGCTGCCCAAACCAGTGCCCTGCCCATCCCAAGACTCAGGGCTGACCTCTGTTAGATGCTCCCAGCCAGCCAGGACAGCCCTGTCCCCAGGCTGGGTGCCCACAGCATCGCCTCGGAGTGCTGCAGCCCCCACTAGCAACAAGTGGGCTCCTCTCCTGCTCCTCGCCTGCCTTGTTTGCACTGAAACTGCTATCAACAGGAGAGCAGGGGGGGCGAGAGGATGGCAGAGAGCGCGAGAGAGTCACTTCTCATCAAGTTGATCAATCTTTCTGCTGTTGAAGCCTCTCAATGAGTTGAATGTGATTTTCTCTGCCTCCCGCGCAAGGTGGAAGTCGATCACTTTCAATTTTCAGCATGCAGAACAGGCACTCTATCAAGCTGCTGCCTTGCATCACCCTGATTGCTGCTGGTGAGGGCTTCCAGCACGCGCCGAGCCGCCGTGGCAGCAGCTCCCCCCTGCCAGGGGGCTTTTGCTGCAGCCAGCTGGGCGAGGGGCGGCTGGTGTAAGGTGAGGGCGAGCTCTTTGGGGCCGAGGGAAGCCCGTGGAAGGCTGTGGGGTGGGATATGGGATCGGTGTGCTGTGGTTGTGTAGGATGCCACGGTGCCAGCCCTGCAGAGCCCCAGGGCGCGCTCCCCTTTTCAGCACCCCAAACCAGATCTCCAACACCACGACGCTTACTGCGCACAAGCCAAAATCAGAATCCTTTGGCACTGCCTTCCCCTCAGCTGCAGAGAGCGGCGTTATCCCACCCAGCAGCTCCTGGCTGCCCCACACGTTCCCAGCCCCGAGGAGGATGCTCCAGGCAGTGGCAGGGTTATCGGCACGGCGTGTCGGGGCCCTTGTCTGCAGCCCCGGGGCCGAGCGCGCTGGGAAGCCTCCTGCCCGCCGCACACAGGCCAGAGGCTGCAGATAAGGGAAAGTGATTTCTGGTTTTAATTAACTGAGCTTTCATTTAAGGATAAACAAAGGCCATGTTTGTGTGCTGACAGCTGGCTGTCCTTCTGGGTCAGATAAGAAGGCAAGTTATTGCCTCCAAGCTGCGAGAGGGACCAGGAGAGAGTACAAGAAATGGGAAACGTGAACAAATGCCGAGCGAGCTTTGTTGTGCGTGGTAAATAGCCGGCCTTGTGCCTCATTCATCTGCCTGCCCCCGGGTAGGCAGTGTGGGAGCTGCGTCCTGCCATTGTCTGGGCAAATCCCCAAAGCTCGTCGGGGAAGGTTTCCAGGGTTTGCTCTGCAAAGGTGGGGCCGTGCTGGCTTTGGAAAGGCTGCTTGTCTGTCCCTGTGTGAACAGCATCTCAGCCAAAGCTCGCTGGCACCCTGTGCTCATGGGGCAGCACCGGAGCTGTCCCCTGAGGGTGCAGATCTCCCTCCAGCAAAGGGATGCGTGCAGGATGAGTGCTGCATTGTGCTTCAGGAGCCCCTGGGCTCGCTTGGAGCGGGAGGTGCCAGGGTAAAGCCAGCCTCACGTTTGGGTATCACCTCCGAGATGAATTAAGTGTTTGAAGACCTGAGAAATTGCAGCATTCCCGGGCTTGTCATCTAAACAATTGTGTTCAGAGGGGGAAAATGAGCGCTCCCAGGTCGTCGGTAGTCACCTTCTGATGGCGGTAGGTAGCAGTTAAGCTGATGGAGGAGCGAAAAAGCTTCTCGGCAGCTGGTGATTCAGAAATTCAGCCAGCCTGCACTGCGCCTCTCCCCAATCTCGTGCTTTGCAGCCTGTGCTGCCCGTCTTGCTGGGCTCTGCTTTACAGGGAGGAACGGGGGTGAGCACCCACCTGGCTGTGTCACAGTGTCACCGTGTCACCAGCAGTGACCACCAGGCACCGTCTCAGTGCACGTGTGGCAACCACGGCACCAGGACAGTCGTGGGGGCTCATGGCACATGAAGGCCAGCAGCTGCCTGGCAGGGGCAGCAGGCACGTTGCTCGCTCGGAGCCTTCCCAAACTTTTGCTTTTAACAGGATCAGGGAGCAGGAGCCTTCCTGAAATCTCCGCTGATTGGGTTCAGTGCCTGTCTGTGGTGCGTGCTGAAAGGAAGAACGCGCTGGATGTTTTCTAAGCTAGAATAGGGTTTTTATGTTGTGTTTCTTTCTGCCGCTGTCAGAAAGTCTTTTTGAGCAAAATGAACGTATTTGCTGAAAGTTTTTCTATAGGTCAGGGCTTTCAGTTGTGTTTGTGAGGAATCAGAAAGCAAAGCCCAATGATTTTCAGGCTGTGGCCTCAAGGAGCACGGCTTTTGTACCGCTGCCCCTTTGTAACTAAAATAAAGTGGAATTTCTTAACTAATTTTTTTTTACTGGGCTTTTTGCTTGTTCTTTTTCACAAGAGAGGGAGAGAAGCAAATACGTCTAAGACGACTGTGGGTTGTAGAGGAGAAAAAAAGTTTGTTTTTCCTCTTATCTTCAGCAAAACAAGTTGGCGGTTTTGGTCCAGTTGTAGTCTTGGCACATTTTCTCCTTGTGCCTAATTTAAGGTGACCGCTGTGAGATCCGCTCTAGTTTCACATTCCTCAGCCTTGTGTTTTTGCACTTCCAAGACTGTGTGATGGATCTTAAGGAGCCTGCATTATGCAGCCCTGTATCCATCTGTTGTCCTTACAAGTTAAACAGCCTGAAAAAAATGGATTAGAGCCTCAGCTCCTATAATGAAGCAGCAATTTGTCTCCAGATCCTGATCCAGGTGTAGCAGAGCTAACGAGCTGGCTGGCCTTGAGCATCAGAGAATGTTAAATACGTTTTTGGTGGAGGAAAGCTTGAGCGGAGGTGAGAATACGGTGCTGGGGAGAGGGAGGGAGGGAGAAGAGGAAGGCAAATGGGGCCGTTCCCACTGAGCACCAGCCGTCTTGTGTTGGGCATCGGGGTGGCTCATGCCTGGTGTAAAATCACCTTGTAAATGCAGCCAGGGTGGCAGGGGCTGTCCTGTAACCTCTGTCTTCTTGCTGGGATCTGGAAACCTCACTGTTGTCCCTAGGCTGTCTCTGAAGGCAGGGTTGCAGTTGGGAAATGCCCTGCGGTGCCGTGCGTTAGCTGGAGCTGGGAGAAAACCCCACTAATAACACCGGGTTGCCTTTCATGGGGCACAAGGGCTCGCCTTATATCGGGGCCCTCTAGCAGGGTGTAGGTTAATGGAAGTGGTCCCCCAGATCTGCTCCAGCTGGCTTGCAGGGGAGCGAGCAGGCTGTATTTAACCAGGTAAAAATAAACCGGGTGGAAACGGTGGTGAGGAAATGAGGAGGGGAGAAAGTCTCGTCCCATTATGTGGGAGAAAATACCTCCCAATTAAAGAGAATGAGCTGAAAGCGGTAAGTGTTGGGGGGAGAGGGGAGAGAAACTCGTTCAGGCTCCTGGAAGAAAGAAAGTCGTCTTCGGTGGGGCTGATTTGCCCGCAGTGGAGTGGCGAGAGGAGAGGGAGGATGGCTGGCACGATAATTTCCTCGTGGTGAGGAAGGTTTGGGTATGAAAGCGAGAGGAGGAGGGAGGGGAGGGACGGGGAGGCCAGGTTGATGGAGATCACGTTCCATTCAATTTGGAGAAAAGGAGAGAGAGAAAAGAAGATGAGCCTGAAATGAGGCTTAATTTTAATGAAGGAAAATTCTCCGCTAAGTAAGGAGAGTGGAAAGGGAGGGGAGAGGAGGGTTTGAAAATGATAGGAGCCTGACATGCTATTGTGGTGGAGAGATTTCCTTTTCTTTCTTTTCCCTATGGCTGAAAAAATAATATATATATTTATAAAGACGGTGGCAGGTGGGGGAGAGAGGAGAGGAGAGATCTAATAGATGAGTCGCAACGCCTGGGAGGAGGTGCCCTCACTGCAGGGTGGTGGCCTCGTGGTGACACCGATGTCCTGCTCAGGACTCTGGGCAGGGGCTGCACATTGCTCCCTCGTGGCTGTGCCACGTCGTGGGGAGCTGGGCTCCCACCCCAGGTCTTATCCTGTTTTTTTCCTTCCTTTCCAAGTGTTGGGAGGGTGGGGGACGGGTGCCAGCAGTGGCGGCACAGGGGAAGGAGCCGCGCGGTGCTGGGCAGTCGTGCGTTATGGTTAGTGCCTTCTGCTGAGCAGCTCCCATAGCGTGGCCTGGGGTGGGTGTTTTGCTTTTCTGCTGGCCCCCCGAGAGCGAGCTGCACTCTGGATGCTCCCACTGCTTCCCATTAGGAAAAGTTAAACATACATGAATGATTCTCCTCGCATAACTTCTGCTTTTAAGCATGGTAATTACGGTGCCTTGCGCACAGCCGTGGTGCGGTCAGGACCGAGGGGAGGTGGAAGTGGGGACATTTGGCAAAGCGGTGGCTCCTGGCACTGCCACGCCTGTGAAATCCCTCCTGCACTGGCAGCTCGCTGCTCTGGGTGCTGGTGTGGAGACACCAGGAGCCTCTGTGATGCTCTGCTGGCACCAGCCCTTCGGATACGCTTGAAATGTTTGGCTGAATACCTGTTGCCTTTGTCGCTCTGCATTGTAGTCCTGGCTGCCCTTGATTCGGTGGCAATTACTGCGTATTTCACAGGTTTCATTTTAATGTATTTCTCAGATTTCTGCTCTTTCCAAAATCCCCCACCCGGCCTCTAGATAGGGGGTGCACAGGCGGAGAGCAAACAGGGGAGCGTGGTTGCAAGCTCATTTCCCATTCTGCACAAATCACATTATGGAACTCGGTTGGCTTAAGGCTTTTTGAGAGAAGAACACATCCTCTGGGGACAGAGAAATCCATCCTGCTTCACAACGCTTCCAAGTTTATGAGTACAAATCCAAATGCTTGGCCATTTGCTAATTCATCCTCTCGCTCAGGTGATTTTCGTGCCGCAGACATCTTGTTCTGTATGAATAATGCTTAGTAGGTGTTAAAGTAGTATTCGTACAAAGCTAGCTGAAGAAATAGGAGGCAAATTGCCCGAATTTGCCGGTTTCTAATCAAGAAGCAAAGCGGCTGCTGGGCACGAGCAGGTGGCGAGGAGCAGAGGTGCTGCTCCTGCGGGTGGGAGGCTGTGCCCGACAAAATTTTGGCCCTGGGTGGTTAAGGTGTGTAATCAAGGGGAAATGCTCCTTTGGAAAGAAGGCGTGATGGTTTTGCCCCACATCTTCTGTTTCTGGGAGGGGGTGGAAGGTGGGATAAGGAGGTTTTTTCCCCCCCATACGTGTTGGATGCTGCTCCCTTTGCAAAGGGATGGAGCTCAGAGGATGGGGCCCCTTTGGAGTCTCAGGACAGGTCTCTTTGGTCATGTCTTCATGATCAGATGCCATCGTCCTGTTTGCAGCTGACCCTGTGTGGGTAAAACTTCCACCTCCCTCTTTACGGGGCCTAAAAATGCATTTTGAGACCATCTGATCCGTGACTTCTGGGAGGTGGCTCTGAAATGGG